TTGGGTGTTAAAGGTCCAAGAACACTAGTGTGTGTTCTTGGTGTTTTGAAGAGCACTTGAAGATCTAAGTGAAAATCAAGAATGAATGGATGAAATGATGTATAACAACTACATGTAATCTTGTAACAACAAATCAAGTGAAGAAACACTTACATTTTTGGAAGATCGGAAGAAGAGTGGGATGATACTTGAGAGAGAATGGTGAGAGTTCTTGAGGATGGAAGTTGGGAAATGAAAGAATGAAGAGTAAACTCATGCCTAAGGCATGAGTTTGCGGCCTTAAAGGTGTTCACGGCCCAAACCCCCTTTGTTTGGCCGTGAACACTTAACCAAGGTGTTGATTGTTTCATTAGTACCCCGATATCCTAGAAAATACTTCCTTTTATTCGTTCGTTTGAAGAATAATTATTAAAAATACTCAAACGGACTTTAAACCGGCTAAAAACTAGCAGAAAAGTATTTAACTTTTATTTGAAGTGCTTGACTGTAGGGTTTGTACGAATGAAAATTTTGGGTTGTCACATTCTACATGGTAAAACATAATTGTGAAATCTTTGTTGAAGTTTTCAAATATAAAGTAGAGACACAAACCGATAGGAACTATATAAAGCCTTAATCATAACAAAGGATGAACTAAATCTCATTTGGTATGATTTACTTTCTAATCGATAGAAGTGCCCTGCTTTTATTTCCTTGGGATAACACCTAGAACACTATAAATTGTACATTGAGTGCAAATGCCAACTAATAAGAAGATATAACATTTTCATTATAAGATTTTGTATGGAGAGGCATCACCCCTATCTTATTAAATGTTTTATGGATTTCAAGCCTATGTTGGAATATAGCTTCTAAACCCAAATTCTACTAAATACATATTTGTATATGATACTATAAATACAACTTAGATTATTATATTCAAACCCACAAAGAATAAGTTCTCTTATTCCTTAAAATCTGAGTAGGTAGAAAGCAAGCATCTAATGATAAAGCAAGTGGGAGGTACATGGAAATTCAAACAGCTCAAGAACCATAACCAGATGTAGTTATAGCTGGAACTAGTTTTAACAAGGATTACTAATTTTGAATAATAGCTATTCACAAGCACAAATTGTTCGCATTAGTGGTAGATATCATCTTTGAATTGAGAAATGTGAAATCTCTCATTGATAAGCTTTTATTGATGATTTCTGGAAAATCCATCAAATATCAAGATGCAATGTTAGATCTCGAATCTAATAAATGACTTAGAGTCATGAACATGACATGTAATCCATGTATGATAATCAAGTATGGTCTTAATTGAACCTCTCTATAGCAAGGATAAAAGGAGTAGGTGATTCTTCTAGAAAGAATACATTACATGGATAACCATACACATTTAAGGCAAGACTTATTATAAAAGGAATTTCTCATAACCATGTCATTGGCAATGGTCCTTATCATACTCATGACATTGAATATGATCAAAACATTTTCACAAGGAGTGATGATTAGATCAACAAGGATATTATTTACTATAAATCATATTCTTAATAGACATCTACTAGAAGATATCTATATAGATTAGCATGGAAGTTTTATTAATCGATGTTTTTCTAACCAAATGTGTAAGACTTGAGATCCACTGTGGATATAAAGCAAACATTTCAAGGTTGTAATTGTCATTTTAATATAAAACCACAAGGCATGCTTTTACATCAAAATGAATAAAACATGTGTGTTTACTAAGAACTAGTGGGAGCATATTGACATTCCTAATTTTGTATGAATCTGACATACATAGTCATAGGAAGTTATATTCTAACTATGATAGGCTTTTTCACCTTGACTCAGAATATATTTCTAAAAGGAAAGAGTTAGGAAGGACAAGATATATTCTTGGAATGTAAAATCGATAGAGATAGATAAAATGATTATTAAAAGTATTAAATATTTACGTATATATGGACAATGTCTTGAAAGGGATCAAGACACAAAATTCATCTGCATGAATCTTCATATTGTCACATGGCACTAAGTTTGAGCCAACCTCAAAAGGACCTATCTCATAGGATTGAGATAGCTGAAATGATTATATTCAATTTTCCTGGAAAATGAATCTATCTTTTATACCATATTATGCATAATACATGGTATATTATCATGCTATGAGCATATCATAATATACCAATTAAATACATAATTAAGTCACCGGATGACGATATGAACATTCTAAGAGTACTTTAGGATTGCTAAGAGAATGTATGTGAGAATTATTTTAGAATAAAATCTTCATGTAAAGAGATAAAAAAAAAGATTCTAATTTCCAAGTAAATATGGATAATTATGAATTATAAGTGGATTATGACTTCATTGTGGAATGAAGAGTAAGTTTAGTTAGAATGAGTTCCAAGTAAAAAAAAATGATACAATCTATTACAAATTAAGAATATGTTACTTTAGAAGTTGAAATCTAATATTATTGGATTAATGAGTTCATTGAAAAACTATTTTGATCTCTGTCATTCAAGGATCACATAGAAATCTTTGTGACTTTGAGAGTATATTGAATTGAGATAAGAGACTCTGTGTCATGAAAGAACACCAAAACATATACTCCAAGATATTTAACTATACCTAGAGTAAAGTCAAACATGGAGATGATAGTATTCCCAGAGTTCACACAAATTAAGTTTAGTCGGACCCATTAATAAAATCCTACTTTTGAGCTAAGTATGAATGGTCATACTTCAACCATCAGACTTTATTATTCATCAAATTGGATTTTATTTGGATTTAGTATTTGGATATTGGAACATTGTGAAAAAAAACTATTATATAAAGTTTTGATATACTAGGATATGATCATAACATCAATTCATGTTCTATACTAACATGTTTAATCCATGAATAATCTTATTGTTCTAAAAGTTAATAATCGGTTATAATTATGGGTGAAGTGTGTTAGGTTGATTACAAACACAAATGATTAAGACAATCAAAGCTTAAAATGAACACAACATGTAAATAATGTTTGCTTGGTTCAATTTAGTCTAAATGAGTACATGAGTAAACAAGAGTACAAGAGAGAATTCACTAAGTGTTCGAACGTTACTCTACTCTATGCACCTAGCCTATTTATAGGGTACATCAGACACATAAAAAGTTACATGGACTAGACATCAAAGTGTCGAAAACAACTATGCCTTAATAATATATATGTATATATATATATATATATATATATATATATATATATATATATATATATATATATTCGAAGTCATAGTGATTTTGACTCCTTACAGACTCTGACTACATCCTCACTAGTCACAATTGACCCACACAATCTCTCCCTTGGTGAGTGTAGTCAGAATTAAGCAATCATCTTTAAAGTCTATAGAAGTTCTCTTTAAATCTACATTCACCATGGAATGGTTTTTCAAATCTCAACTTTTTCTTCACTGTCATTCTTCTTGCAATTGTTGATTCGAATAAGGAGATTAGTATACTGAGAGGTTGTGTACCTCTCAAAATCAACAATTTGTTATCTCCCTTTCTTGTTCTTTCCACAAAACACAATACCAAGAGGTTGATGAACAATTTCACCATCTTCATAATCATCAATATTTGGCTTTCCCCTTAACAATGATTAAGGGATTTTCGATGGCTTCTTGACAACTATTGCAAGATCAATATATTTGATTGCCAAGTAGTCATAATAGTTGTTAAGAAAGACTTTGATATGACTTTGATATGAGAAAATCAAATAATAAAATCATCGTTATTGGTTTCTGTTATAATCGACACATGAATAGCTCAAGAAATCTTACTGACTATGATCTAATCATTCAAGTTTATCAATGGAAAATATGTTATTATGAACTCAAAAACAACATTATTTTCTCTTACAACAACATAACGAAACATTTGTAACAGGCTTTTGAGCATGGATGTGAGTTAGAATCCATAAATGATACAAAATCAATCAAAGAAAGTAGTAAGAACACATCTAGTAAATATGATCTGATTGGCTCGTATTAGTCTGAAGTGAGTACTATATATTCGAGATTTTTTACAAAACAAATGAGCAAAAAGGTTACTATTAGCTGTAGTACCTACACTATTTATAAGGTACAAAAAACTCTACAAAAAATACAAGGACTATACATTCTAGCTTGGAATACAAATTGTGCCTTGTAAATAGATAGAGATTGAAATCATCTTGATTTTGAACCCTTACATATGCAACCTATTTCGGCTGCTCAGTATCTATGTTTTGACCCCTACAAACATCTTATCATAAGTAATGGTCATCAATTTTATTATCTTCACTGGAGATGACACCTCTTCCTTATTCTTCCCTAGACCGCATGAAATTGAATCTTAAGTCTTCTGAATACTTCCTAATCATTGAAGTTCTCTACAATCTTGAATTATGAAGAATTGAAAAACATATGATTGGTTGGAAATTCGAGCTGATTCAAATCAAACTTTTTTAGGTTGTACATCTTCTTTTTCACTTTTCAAAAGTCATCATTCATTCCAATAGAAAATATATCTTTTATTGTTTGATAACACCACTGCTTGTTGGGATCGCCCTTGTTCAAGCCAGGTGGGTTATTTTGTCTTCACCTTAGAATGTTGTTTATCTACCTTTCTTTTTCGATTTCGACGTCCTGTTGGTCTTCCTTCTCTTCTTCTGATTGAGCAACTGAGATTGATTCCCTATTATCATTTGGATCAACATTCGAAGTTGATTTGTTAGTGATTGAATGCAAACCTCCTACTCCTTCATTGAACGAGATTCCTTTTGTCAAATTACTCATTTTTTTTGTAGATGTTGAAGTTTTGGGCTTCATTGAAATAGATGTTTGGATTTGAGTACTTATCACCTTTCACAAAACTAATCAAGAATTATTACATGTATCCTTCGATGAACCAACACCTCTATCCCCTTTTTCTTGTACTTGCGACATATTCATTACATGAGGAGCATTTGTTGGAAGTCAAAGAATTCACCAACTGCTTGTATCCAATGCATCCTTAATGTTTGTTTTGATATTAGAAACCATTTGAGAAATGGATTCTAGAGAAATCGTCGATTGAGATGAAAGCATGGTTTTGATTTCGGTTAAGAACTCTTCAACTTTAGCAAATACTAGAGCATCTCCTTTCACCTTGTCTTGAAGACTAACCATGTAATCTTTGTTGAAAAAAGTGATATCTTTAATTAAAAGGGTTGACGCTTCGGATAGCACATCCATCTTCTTATGTAGTGTCGAAGAACTTTCAACAAAATTTTTAACTTTAGATTTCAACAACGTTCGAATATCATAGATCTGGGTCTTTAAACAGACTTTCATTTCCTCAAGTTGTTTTGCAAAAATCTCATGAAATTTTTTCGAAAAATCAAAAAGCCAACACTAGTAAGATTGCTAGAATGATTGACAAGTTGTTCATGGTTTCACTTGGAAACATCATCGACTAGATATTGCAAACGAGAATCTTAGTCTTTGAGAATGGAATCAACTTTGAATTCACTCATAGAACGCTTTCTTCCTATATTAGCCATGAACTATAAAATCAAAATCATCTTGAAATTCAATATTTTGATATCATTTGCTGACATTATCATTTCATCAATAATATTATCCTGCTCTGGATCAAACTGAATATCACCATGACATCATCATCATCAACTTTATTTTCGTGTTGTTAATCTTCAGTGGATTGACAGGAAAAGAGTTTTGTAATAGGTTCGTCCATGATACCAGAAAATGTTGGTGATACAGGCGTAGTTGGAACTGAAGTTGGAATAGATGATGAAGGTGGTGGTAAAGTGTTACGTCTTGAGCATTCTAACACTCCTAAGTGTACATGCAACCCTAAATACCTTGGATCTATGTTTTCTCTATTATACATGCAAATATGAACTTTCCAAGGTATTTATCCTAACTAGCATAATAACATTGATTCATATGAATATCTCAAGTTGGAATTTCATACCTCTTTAATTTAGAATGTCTTCATGAAGCTTAAGTGCCTAGTGCCCCAAGTGTGACACCTCAAATGGTTCACACAACACCAAATACACTTGGAGTAACTTGATAAAATATACACACTTCATGAAAATCAGCTAGCCCTTTCACATATACTGTAGTGGCCGATTTTACCAACAATAAGATGATTCTATGGTTAGTGACAATTAGGGTAAACCCTAATTGTCATGGCTTTCCATTTCCTTGGATCCATGGGTTCAAATATACCATGGAGCACCCATGGAGCATCTTATGGGTTTTAGCCCAACTTGACAATCCATGGAGCATTAGCCCACTATACACATATGGATGATTTACACAATCAACACATATATTCAATTTGTCTTCTTTTGATCACTAAATTAATTCTAGATTAATTCTTGATCAATACTTATTAAATAATATTATTAATATATTAGAACTTATAATATATTAACAACCCTTAAGTCTTGTTTCTCTCATTATAGTCAATCCAAATGTATGATGCCATGCAACCCAAATGGACCATGGCGGGTCGGGTCAAGTCTTACCAATAATAGTTATGGACTTAGACATTAATCCAACAGTCTCCGACTTGGATAAGTCTAAAATTATTATTGCAAGCATGACTTCAAGAACCGACTGCAAATCGTATCTCTCAAAAGCTTCTGTCAAACTCTGCCCTTGCTGATGATCACCGACCTTTGTCAATAACTTGTCCATTAGGTAAGGGATCATATATTCCTCTATTCAAGATATCATATGGACTGAGACATGGATTATAATCATTCTCTCTATCCATTTGTTGTTTCTCGATTTCCGATTTATGATGATTGGCTAATTAAACAAATCAAATCAGTCCAGGCCTGGCCGAGCACTTACATTTGTCATCACCAAATCATCGACGGGCCAACATATATCGCTTTTATCCCAAAGGTAAAAGGAATGGATAAACTTTGACTCATATGGCTTGTTCTACTACTTGTTGAATCATACATAAATGCACGTTTTATAACATCGAGTTACCGATGCGTTTTCGTGCAATCAATGTATAACTAACTCATAGTAACAATCATGTCTCTAGGTTTGAAGAATATAAGATATTATCATCTCATGATCACTCGTGATAAAATCCATGAAGTGATTCTAATAAGTGTGGGTTGAATCCAGTACTCAGACCTTATGAGCACTCATGAGTGTTGTAGCACTACTTTGTGCAACATCTTAGACCTCTAAAAGCCAACCCATGACAGTCTTGATTCATATCTACTTCCAATATATGACCGACTGTGGATGGTTTGAATAACTTAGTCATTTAGGAAGAACAGACTAGTTATTCTGGAAGTCAAAACATGCAAAATGAAACACAAGAATAATTGAATCCAATATGGTCTCAGAACTTATGAATATAAATAAAACACCTTTTATTTATCACCATATGATTACACACTATCCATTGCATATCGTTTCAACTATCAACTTTATTCTTTAATTAAAAAAATAGTTGTCCCATGCTCCAAGCATGTACACTATGTTTTCTAAACACTAGTCATGACATACACCAAGTATGCATACTATCTTTGTCCATGATCTTTACATTGTGAAATAAACCAATTGAACCATGATTCTAATTTCACACTCCAAAATCATTATTGTAAATGTAAGAATTCCAAATCCTTATCATTTATCGAAATCTGTTAAATTTTAAACTTATATGCATTGGTCCCTTTGTAACGATTATGCACAAAGTCACAAAGACTTGTCAACAAACATTACAGAGTAATCCCATGGAGATCAATTCCATGGGAAACATCCATCTATCATTAAATTTTCTAATCTTACATATATTTTAATAACTTCCATCTATGAAACACTCTCATTTCAACTATCACTTCTGAACAAGAGTTGCCTCTTTTCAGAGTATGTCAATATGCTCCTTCCCAAAAATTAACACTATACTTCCAACTATCCACGAGCAACCAATCTTTGGTAAACCTTAGATTGTTCTCGACAATTGCTTAATCATTTTAGTCATATCCAATTCTAGACCTTTTCCCTCTTGATTCCCCAGGCATTTGGAAAATTTATAAAGGGTGAATATTATAGCACATGCAATCAATGCTATATCCGAAGCATATGGGACACGATTCATGATGTATCACATAAAGACATGATTCTAGATCATTCTTTTGCTACACTATTTCTATTTGCCAAGTTCTCATAATTAAGATTATGAAAAGGGATGCCGTAATCATAATCAAAATTTTAGAACGCAAATAATAGACCCATATATAGAATTTCCTTATGTTGAGCCATTCCAACACAAAATTCAAATATATCCTTGACTAAGGATGATTAAAACCTCAATCAAAGCTTTTAGAATTTAAATGAAGTATAATTTCCTCTCCCTTAATTATAGCAAAACAACTTTTCAACCCCTACAACTCCTAGAATTGAAACTTTTGTTTTCTATAATTAACATTGCTAAATTGCAACCTTTATCATGATTATCATGTTCCCACTAACATGATGATTATTAGCATAACACTTATGCTCCCACTAGCTTTGACATGTACTCAGAAATCAGTTGGACTTCTAGAAAAGAATACTATATTGACTTTCATACCAAAGTTCAAACTTCTGATACGAGATGCTTTGATAAAACTTTATCAAAATCATACACCTTTCCTTAGATAGCACACATGTGTGTCTAAACAATTTCAAAACTATGAAAAAGGATGTCGTAATCATAGTCTCAATGGTTTAGATCTTTGCTATCTGCTTCAAATCTACTTCGTGGAAGTGTTTCCTCACCATCATTTTCATGAATCAGAGAGAAACCTTATGACCCCTAGATTTTATGGTGTATGTGTTCTTATCCATGTGAATTGTCAAAACCATAGTCACAAGACAAGGATAATGACAAATCCAAACACATATGGAGTGAACCCAATCTTAATTTCATGCCACCTGACAGCTAAATGGCCTACCATTGCTTCGAAGTTGTTATGAAACCAATTGAGAACTCTAAGAATTCCCATGCAAAGCCAACTTTAACTGGAATGGGCACAAAAATAGAAATATGTCAACATGATAGGTTATAGACCTCACGTCGTGTACTAGTGTTAAATTACATGTTCTTATTCTTGATTAGATCTTTAAATTCTTTCAGGGTCTTATGGACTCCCACTGTCCTCTTAACATATAAGACTATCTTGCCAAATATTCAAGAAATAGTTTGGATTCTTTATCAAGACAAACACTTCACACAATTGGTCTTAATTGGTCTTTGTTTTATCCAAAACATCACAACTTACCAATTTCAAATGTACAAGAGTAGGACACTATTACTCTTACATTTGACAAGTGTTTTAAACCTTTCTTTAAGATATCTCACTCAACATACAGTCTTGGAGTATGACTCTAAGACTTGTTTTGGAACGAAGTATGACGCATCATCTTGAGTTGACCACTTCAACAATTCATAGCTCCTCTTCTTAACTATCAGAATGCACTTAGAGGATGAATTGTGATAAGGTCTCAAAATCGTTAAGATGATCTTAAAATATGAGACTGAAGTACCCTCCCATATTTTCAGATTTGAGGAACTTTTATCCTTCTTCCTAATTTGATTCTCCTTATTCGTTCTGTCATACACTGAAAATTTTCCAATGCTTTAGAGTTATACTTAACCTTGTAAGTATAACCATATTTACTAAACTTTAATAAATAATGACGAAGAGTCTTATCGATCTTTTGTGGTGGACTTAATTAGTGCACAAGAATGTGTACTCGATCCCTTATTCCTTTACTTGACTCACACATCCATGTGAATAAGTAATTACTCTTAATTTTTGAATGCTTGAAAGTTCTCATTCGTCATACTATACAACTTGCATGATTCCAAGTTTCTATCCAACTGAAACCTTGGGTGATGAGAATCTTTCCTTATTTGTTAAATTAGACATTACCACAAATGAAAGAATGAAATCCATTTTTTCCAATATTCCTATCAATGGAATCATATAAGCAACAATTTTCTACAAATGCCATTGTAAGGATATTTAGAAAAAATATAATAAAAAATCCTTTCATTTTAAAAATTTGCGGAAAAACTCATCCTTATAGTGCAAAAGAAAATGGAAAAACTTTGTTGTTATCTATTCTTAATCAGTATATCATCACTCCTAAGCAACAGCTCAAACTTCTGATCACCGAACCATGCGATCAAAATCCATATTCGCAATCAGAATCAACATATATTTCCTTTAACTTTATTCAGTTTTCTTTGATTCTTAAAACATCAACATGTGACCCAGTCACACCATGTAATAAGATTCTTAGAATAGAAACTTAATAGAGTTATATAGTGGACTTTTACCTGAAGAAGAGTCAAACTTCTTGACCTGATCAACCTTATAATCTTTCAGGTAAATAGGCAGCTTCGTAACCAGTCCCCTTCTTTTGGCAAGAGAAACATATGGACTCTTTGGGAATGGTGTACTAGACTATCAAAGACTTGCCATTCTCTTTACCATTTGGTCAACTGAGTTGACTATGGCCGATCCCTTTCCATTGGGAATAGAATCTTTTTTTTCTGCATTTCCAGTGTCATCATTGTCAATGTCCATAAAGTTTTGGGAAGTCGATCTTCTAATCAAATTTTCTTTACTAGCCTTCCAAATCATTGATGATTCAGTAGTACCAAGCAAATAGATAAGATCATTAAGGGTCTTGCCATAGTGTGTTTCACAGGAGTCCCAAAGGAACTCACTATGTGTCTTAGAAAGTGATTGAACCACCAACTTTCTCAAGACTTTGACACCCAACTCTCCTGGCTTGTTAATATGTGACTTCATCTCCAAGATGTGATCGCACATAGATCTTTGCTTGTCAATAGGGCTTGAGTGACCTTAAACTTTTCAAGAACTTGTGGGTTAGGGTTAATAATTGGAGGAGGTGAAAGAAGTATGATTTCCATGGGACATCATCTCCATTTAGGATAGCTTGTTTCAAGAGATCTGGGAAGATCATAAATGTCTAAACCAGACATATTTTGGAATATATTCAAGATAGTTGATTTAAAGTCCTTAATATAACACCCAATATGAAATATTAAATCTAGGACCCAACACAATACTTTTATAACTTGGAAGAGGGATGCCGTAATCCAAGCTATAAAATATCTGAAGGTAGGTGAATGACAACTCACCAATTTTCACCAAGATAAACGAAATGTATAATTAGGTTTTAATTGGTTTTGAAACTCCTAGATTCTATTGAGATTCATTAAAATTTTCAATGCCATGTTTCAATCTCGAGTGTGCCCTTCAGGTTTTGTGATTGGGATGCCGAGGATCAAAAAACAAGTTGTGAATAACCATGCAAATATACTTGGTACCCTTAATATTTACCCCTCAATCGATGTGTTGGTTAACCACATGTGCTCCACCGATACTATGATAAACAATATGTTACCCTTTGCCTATCTTGTTAAATACGAGTTAGTGTGCCGATTAACCACACACGCTTCACTAACCGACTTAAACAAAGTGCAAAGTGTAATTTTATGAATAAGCACCAAATTCACATTTTCCTAAGTGACTAGGATTGGGTATTTATAAAGGTTTAGTTACATAGTATTTATCATTAATACTTTTAATGAAAGGATAATTATAGTCCTTGTCCTACCTGTTCGGCTAATGACACTCCACCAGTCAAGGAAGTGGTGGGTGAGAGTGGACACCCATTAAACTGTCATTTTATAGGCAGTAACCTTATACTCTCCTTATAAATCGGCTTCGTGAATGAGGCCTACTAATTGTAAGATTGACTTTCTCTTATACATACATATATATATATATATATATATATATATATATATATATATATATATATATATATATATAAACTTATAATATTATAAAGTATAAGGGTTGAATTTTAACTTTTTAAAATTCTAAGGGCTTAACTGGGAATTAAAGAATTCGTATGAGAAAACTTTTCAAATTCCAAAACTTGAGGGCAAGTTTTGAAAATATTCAAAAACTAATTAATTCCATAAATTATGTGTTTAAAGTAGTTTTAATTAAAAAAATCTTCAAGTTCCATAACTTGAGGACAAGTTGTGGAAGACTTTAAACTGTTAAAGAATGTAACTCTTCTTCTTTGTAACTTATGGAACTAATTAAGGTTACATATTTTAAGGATTTAATGAACTGACTCTTGAACCTCCATAACTTGAGGACAAGTTATGAAGTCATAAAACCATTCAATGAGGACAAGACTCTTCATTTTGTAACCATTGCCAACTTTTATGAGTTTTAAGAAACTTTAAAGTGACTTTTCATGTAACTTGAGGACAAATTACACAAACGCATTTTTGAATGAATTCTTAGATTAAAATGGATCAAAGACACATAGTCAATCAACCTTTTCTATTAATCTAAGAAACTCATATGAACAAGGTAATTGGAATCAAACTTTTTCATGTAATTAGCACAACACAAAATAATACAAAACATGAATATATTGACAATTGTCATTGCAATTGGATTAGTATGAACATTACCACATCAAAAATAAGTTTATAAGTCCAAAAACAGCTTAGGGTGATGTTCCTAGTCCAATTGCAGCCAAAACAGTCGAATATATGATGTATGGGGGTCCAACTCGTCGAGTGCATGAACAAACTTGACAAGTTGGATGCTTTTTTCCTTGGACTCGGCGAGTCTGCTGTGCAGACAGCACCAAAATTCGATTTTTAAGCAAGTATAACAAGAAAACAAACCTGACTCTGATACCATTGTTGGGTTTTGAGCATTCTAACACTCCTAAGTGTACATGCAACCCTAAATACCCTGGATCTATGTTTACTCTATTATACATGCAAATATGAAGTCTCCAAGGTATTCATCCTAACTAGCATAATAACATTGATTCATATGAATATCTCAAGTTAGAATTTCATACCTCTTTGATGTAGAATGTATTCATGAAGCTTGAGCGCCTAGTGCCCTAAATGTGACACCTCAAATGGTTCACACACCACCAAATACATTTGGAATAACTTGAGAGAATATACACACTTCATGAAAATCGGCTAGCCCTTTCACATATACGCTAGTAGCTGATTTTGTCAACAATAAGATGCTTATATAGTTAGTGACAATTAGGGTAAACCCTAATAGTCATGGTTTTCCATTTCCTTGGATCCATGGGTTCAAATACACCATGGAGCATCTTATGGGTTTTAGCCCAACTTGAGAATCCATGGAGCATTAGCCCACTATACAAGTATGGATGATTTACACAATCAACCCATATATTTAATTAGTCTTCTTTTGATCACTTAATTAGTTCTAGGTTAATTCTTGATCAATACTAATTAAATAATCTTATTAATACATTATAACTTATAATATGTTAACAAACCTTAATTGTTATTTCTCTCATTATAGTAATCCAAATGCATGATGCCATGCAACCCAAATGGACCATGCTGGGTCTGGTCAAGTCTTACCAATTATAGTTATGGAGTTAGACAATAATCCAACATAAAGTTGTTGAAGTTTTGCAATTGGGTCATGCACCCCTCATCCATGTTGACATTTGTGTCTTTATTAAATAATTCCACATTGATGTTTTGAGTTTTGACCTCCTCCGTATCGGACTCGGTATGTGAAACACTAAATGATTTGACAACTGTCTTCTCAAGGATAGTGGTGTTTTGCTTATCACTCGAATTGATGTTTGTATATGAATTAGATATGTTTACATTAACCTCAGGATCCCATGCTTCCTCGAAATTCGATCTGATAGGAGAATCCCTTTGACGTGAGCAAATATACAAATCCTCAATTTGAATATCTAACCTTTCATTATCACTATCATGCTGAGTTTCGATTGTCACATTCTCAAGTTGAACTTGAACTTTACGGTTCTTCTTGTTTAACTTTTGAGCCATATCAATAGTTTATTGCTTCTTGGAAGCTAGTGATCCATGAATCAGTACTTGATGAAACAAAACACCCCTCATGTTAAATTGTGATTTTCGAACCTTCATTGGACCACTCAACAAAGATACAAGATTTGAAGATTCAAAAGTATTGGGCACAACACTTTCAGCTATAGGTTCTTGTGTTGTTTGCTTGATTGGTGATTCAGAAGCCTTCTTTGCTAGTTTCTTTGTTCTTTTGAGAACCCTAATTTTTGTGGGTATTGTCTCTTTAACAACTTCCTCCTCCACAGTTGATGATCTTTCAACTTTTTTTCTTCTTGTTTGGAGCCTTTGAAGTTTCAGACGTTCCTTCTACCCCTTTTTGTGGAAGAACCCTAGTTGGACGAGAAGTATCAATAGATGCCAAGTACAGCACTAACAATTGATTTTTCAGATCCACAAGCTTAAGCATCAAATCCAGAATTCAAGAAACATTTGGATAAACATTAGAGTCATCCACAAAAACCCTTGGAGCAGCAATTGTCGGAAACTCAGCAGTTTCGACATCAGATGGAACAAGAATATCTTCACTATAAATCTCCTGTAAAATTAATCTCCATAATTGAGCACTTGAAACACCATTTGTTATATTTGTGTGCAAGATTGAGGTTCCAAACTCTTCCCAAAGATGTGAAGCATAGTCAACATCCAGACCGTAGTATATCCCCGCCGTTATAGAGTAAACTTCAACCTTGGCTTTATCGAACCCAGAGCTTCTTCCTGTTAAACATCGTAGCGTAATTCTAAACACAAAACTCCAAATACAGGGAAGAATAGACTTATTAAATGACTTATTCCAATAAGAGTTGGTTGATGCCCCATTTCAATAAACATATGAACCACCTATTCATTCATGAACTTGATCTTTTAATTCGAGAGTTGAAATGTAACCACCTTAGTAGTTTTGTTGAATAGTGTAGTTGAAGAAGCAAGTGAAATCCATTTCATGGAATCACATACGGTGATTAAAGTATTGTCAGTAATATAGAGATGTTCAGAGTTTTACCAAGCATCCTTAATTGCTCCAGATATTGATCAATTCATGCAACAAGATGAAGATTAGTTGTTTGTATCTTCATCATCGGTTGCAAGACATTTTCATCATTAGTGGTTCTTGGATCAACATTATGTTGAGAATCAACCATTGCAAAGAATTTTTGATATATTGAGAAGCGATGAACATTTAGGGTTCTTTCAGGTTTAATCAGAGAGCTTAAACTTTGATAAGGAAACAATCATCTTCCTTATATAATCGGTGTTATGGTTGAATTTGAACCGGTAACCATTAATAAAATGCAATGTATTATGTTGGTTACTTAATTGGCACCGTAATAAAACTCCACGTCATAAAAGAGATCATTACGATCTCCTTGATTCCCATGAAAATACTAAACCATCACGTCCATCAGATCTTTCGTTGTTCACAATTGGACAAGAATCATTACAAGTTTCGTGCATCAAACATGTATGCCATGTAATTTGACAACAAGATAAGACCAATCCTTCGACATGGAGGCAAGTCTCATTCGCTTTTTGTATGTGAAACCGAAATCATTTGAAAAAAAATTCAAACCTAAGTTTCGAGTTGGTAAGACCCAAAACCTCAAGGATTCCAATGCGTTCGTGTGCCAAAGAATGAGACAGATGTAATTAAAACAAAATGTGAATATCGTGATATCAAATTTCATTTAATACGAAAGTAAAATGATCCTGGGAAAAGATCCCTTCATTTGACATCAAGAGAGACAAAGAATTTCAAGTGTGGCATCCCATAAATTACCACCAAATACTCCTTGATGAGCATCAAAGGGTTTCTTTTTCATTTTTTTCGAAGGTGACTTTAATTTTGCACAACATCACAACTTAACATAAGTGTGATCCAATTTAACAAAATTACTTGGTTGACGAGTGTAGTTATGAACAAGTAAGACTGGTGATTATTATAAGTGACAAAAGTTCAAAAAATATATTCATACTAAAATCCCATTCCGAAAACAAAAAAAAATTTAAGTACTAGATCTTTTGGGGTAAAAACATCTTGGTGTTTGAACATTTTATAAAGATCGCTTAATTTGAATGGAATGAGATTTTGAATATCGAAATGGTATTGAAACAAATGTTTTGTGAAAAACTTGAACAATGTTGCTCCCCGTTAATTCCTTAATAGTTAGGTTCATTGGGTTTCACCATCATCACAAAAGAATGACTCGGGATCAAAAACACAAAGTTTTGACATATCTACATTTTGGAAGGTTTTAACAAGAGATGTTGAGGATATGTAGTTTAGTGTCTAATCGTGAAAGAAATTTTGGTGAAAAATATTTGGTGAAAGCACTCATTGTACCTGTGCTACACATTTGACCAAGAAGAAAACTCTTGACTCGTCAAGAGAAGATTACGTTAGATCTTTGATTAATGTGAATACAGCGTGATTCGGAAGAAATTTTCGTATGAAAGATTTCATTAAGGCTTTGAACACATAGTGTCTTTGAGGCATAGAGGACAACATGTATCTGCATGCTTCTAGGGACACTTAACTAGTACGTTGTTTCGAATAATGCATGTTCCCTTGAAGAATATGTTCTTTTGGCATGTGAAATAGCATCATGTTGTTACAATGATAATTCAACAATAATATTTTTGTATTTTTTATTTTATCAAATAAAAATAAAACAAATTTAAGAAAATATTTTTGAATTTTTGATATTTTTAAAGCAAATAAAAAAATAAGAAAATCTTTTTGGATTTTTGTTTTTGTAAAATAAAAAACAAAAATAAAAATAAAGGAACTGTAAAATGTTATCAAGATATTTTTGACCCATAGTATAGCAATCATCAATCATGGGTTATACATAAAACATCTTTCATCAAATGCAAATTGTTTTCTGAACAATTTAGAGACAAGTTGAATATCAACGCAGTTGAATGCTGAACGTGAATAGTAACTTCTGAATAGAACACAAATAGTTGAAATTGATTTAAAACACACGAAAGAAATACCTACTATTAGAAAGTAACAATAACAACCGAAAGTAAGATAAAACTTTTTGATCTAGCCATACCCAGACCATGCAAAATCCTTAATAGTGAATTTTCATCTAAAGGTTTTTTGAAAATTTCATCAATTCGGTCGGTTGTTTTAACAAAATGGACTTTTATGTTTCCATCTTCGACATGGTCTTTGATAAATTGATATCGAAGAGTAATATGTTTTGTTTTTGAGTATTGGACTGGATTATGAAAAATTCAAATTGTGCTTTGTGAATCACAATACATTGGTATTTTCTTCAGGTTGATTACATAATCATGCAATTGGCTTTGAATCGAAATCACTTATGATGTGCACGCAGCAACGACATACTCTGACTCAGCAGGTAAAATGGAAACACATGTTTGCTTTTCTTATTTCCCGCACACAAGCTTTCTGTCTAATAATTGACATCCGCCAGTTGTGCTCTTTCGATCTGATTGACATCCACCCAGGTTCGTATTAGAAAAATGCTTGGATAAAAACTCCTGTCTTCGATGGATTCCATAATCCCAACGAAACCATTCCTTTGAGGTATTGAAAGATATTCTTGACTACATTGAGATGGGGTTTCTAACGCCCGCAGATCAGGGCTAGTCAATTTAGAGGCAATAAGTGTCGAAAACGAATTTTCAACAAATGACTATTTAGAATAAATAATCTTAACCAAGTTTTAGAATATTTCTCAAGGTTTCCGTACATATGAAGAACGTCGAAATCGGAGTTATAATGAAGCAGTTATGACCCGTTGAAGTTTCGCGACGGAATCGGTACGATACCGGGAAGCGTAAATAGTGAATTTACGATAGAGCGAGATTTAGCCTTAGCGATCAAAAAGAAAGTCATAGAATATGTTAAACTAAGAACATCTATAAAAAGAATGCCCAAATCTGACTTCGTATGAAGAAGTGATGATTTTTCGAAGTTTCATATTTGCGGTGCACAACCCAAATGTAACACCCAAAGTTTGGAAGGCCAAGAAAGGAAAGAAAACCCTAATTTTAAGGGGCGACACGGTGAGTCCATGGAGGAACTCGGCGAGTCCGAGCGGGATCCGGGTCGAGGAGTCAGTGACCGACTCAGCGAGTCAGGTCTGAACGAGGAAAACCCTAATCCCCTGAGTTGTATCATATTTAAAGGGTGTTATGTCCCTCCCTCAGCCCCCATGTCATCCTAGAGAACCAGTAAACCCTTGATTTCGTGTGAGCTTCCATCATTTGAGAGAAATAGCTTGGAGGAAGGAAACTTTGGAAAGGAACTTGAAGATCAAGAAGGTTGCTTCAAAGGAGGAGGTGTAGATCCAAGATCTGCTTCAGTTGTGTTCATCTTGGAGGTAACAAGCTGCTATCTTCCCTCCTTTACATCTAGATCTACTTTTGTTATAAGATTTGGGGGTTTTTATGCTTGTTTGAGACGCAATTCGAGTTTGGTCTAATATGTCATAAAGCATCAAAAGATGAGGAGTTGGTGAAGCCCTTTTGTCCCAAAACCTATCCCTAGAGTGTTTTGAGCCTAGATCTCTTTAGTTATACGTAAAGTTTGCAACTTTACGTGAGGATTGAGCTTTGGGAGTATGGATCTATGAGTTGGAGCCCCTGCATGACTCAAAAGCCCTCTGCATGTAAAGGGATTTGAATGGACTCGGCGAGTAGCATGAAGGTGAGGAGCAACTCGACAAGTGGGATGAACAGCTCGTCGAGTCAGATGAAGATTGCCTTGTACTCAGAGAGTCTGTTCTTGGACTTGGCGAGTCAGGTTGTGAAACCCCAAACCCTTCGAGTTAAGACTCGAATCAGTGAGTCGGGTGGAGACTCGGTGAGTTGGACAGGTCAGGACTCAGAAATCGGTAGACTCAGCGAGTCATGACGCGAAAGGAAGGATTCTGAATATATGAACTCGGCGAGTCAGTAGGGTGACTCGGCGAGTAGGGTTGACCTTG